AGAATAGAAAATAAGAATTAGAATAGAATAAGAATAGAATAGAAAATAAGAATTAGAATAGAATAAGAATAGAATAGAATAGAATAGAATAAGAATAGAATAGAAAATAATAGAACAGAACATAATAAGAACAGAACTGTGATGGCGAACCTATGGCATGCGTGCCACAGGTGGCATGCAAAACCATTTGTACTGGCACGCGAGCCCCAGGCAAACTTACCTCATTGCGTGTGCGCGTCCCTCCCAGCTGATTTTCAGCCCATTTGAGGCCTTTTTTGGCCTCCCAGAGGCTCTACGGAAGCTTCTGCAGCTTTTGGAGGCCGAAAAACAGGCCCGTTTCGTCACTTCCTGTATTTCCAGAAATACCAGAAATGATGAAACTGGCCCATTTTTTTCAGTCTCCAAAGGCTGCAGAGGCTTCCCTCGAGCCTCTGGGAGGCTGAAAAAGGCCTCAAACGGGCCGAAAATCAGCTTGGAGACGCAGTGCAAGTAAGGGGGCACCTGGGGTGGGATTGTGTGCGCATGCACAGGGTGTGTGTGTGTGGGGGGGCGTGCGCATTGCCTTCTTGGTGCTGGCACTCTGGTGACTGCGGAGGGTGAGGTGCAACTCCAGAACCAGGACATAAGTAGCTCTGGGGAGGTCCATTTTTAACTTCTGTCACTAATCAACTCGTTGTTAAGTGGGGACTACTTTTACAAGTCTCCTGAGAAAAATTAATCTTTTACTAACAAGGTCAAAAGGCAATAATTTTGCCAAATTAAAAAATGCAGGTATTCCTTGACTTACAACCACAATCAAGCCCAACATGTCTGTGGCTAAGGGAGTTTTGTCTCATTTTATGACCGTTCTTGCCACCATTGTTAAGTGAATCCCTACGGTTGAGATAGGAACATGGTTGCTTGTCGGAATGGCGCAAACGCAGATCACGTGACCTTGGGATACCAGCAACCGTCATCAATAGGAGTCATTTGCTAAGGATCCGAATTTTAATCGTGATTATATGCAGATGCTGCAATGGTCATTAAGTGTGAAAAATGGTTGTAAGTCACTTTCTTCAGTGTCCTTGTAACTTTGGTCACCGAACAAAGGATTGTTAAGTCAAGGATAAACCTGTACATGGGGACGAGTGCAGAGATAATTTTGGAGAAAATTCCCAGATGGCGTCAGCAAAATGTGTTTAGGGAAAGAAGACAGTAACTGGAAATGCTTTGACTTTCTTGGTTATTAGACAACCGGCGAATTGTTGGGTGAGTGTTTCAGCAACATTTCCTTACCAGATTCTTCAGTGCTGTCATTAGTGGCAGCACCATTAATGTACCTGAAAAGTTCTTAAAAAATCAGGAAGTTATCAGGAATAGGAATACGAAAGGATCGGATAGGATAGGGTGGGATGGGATGGGATAGAATAGAGTAGAATAGGGGTAGGGGTAAGGATAGCCCTACAGGAATTCGTCAACTTATGACCATAACAGAGCCTGCCCATTGCCGTCGTAAGTCATAAAATGGGTGACCCAGAAAACTGAGAGGAAAGTTTACCACCTTTTTATGGGTTTTTCGTTTGCCCTTAAGCAAACCCTACGGTCGTTAATCAAACCCGTTGTTTGCTACAAGCTGGTTTTGCCAAAAATTGGAAGTAAGTTGGGGAGGGGGAGAAGGTGTCCTTTGTTGCCCAAGCTTTGTGAGCTTGGTCGGTTTCTTGCAGAAATTTCAGGCTTATAAACTGCTCTCTGTTTTTATAAACCAAATGTCAACTCATAAAATATTTCTATGGTCTTTTTAGAGTTGCCAACAGAAAGGGAGAGGGGAGCAGATAACAGATAATCAAGAGTTGGAAGGGACCTTGAAGGTCATCTAGTCCAACCCCCTGCCCAAGCAGGAGACCCTACACCATTTCTGACAAATGGCAGTCTAATATCTTCTTGAAGGTCTCAAGTGATGGCGCTCCCACAACTTCCAAGGACAAGCTGTTCCATTGGTTGATTGTTCTGTCAGAAAGTTTCCCCTTATCTGCAGGTTGAATCTCTCCTTGTTCAGTTTCCATCCATTATTCCTTGTCTGGCCTTCGGGTGCTTTAGAAAATAGCTTGACCCCTTCCTCCTCTCTGTGGCAGCCCCTCAAATATTGGAAGACTGCTATCCTGTCTCCCCTGGTCCTTCTCTTCACTAGACTAGCCAAGCCCAGTTCCTGTAACCGTTCTTCATATGTTTTAGTCTCCAGTCCCCTAATCATCCCGGTTGCTCTTCTCTGTACTTTTTCTAGTCTCAACGTCTTTTTTATGTGATGACCAAAACTCTGAGCAGTGCAGCGCAAACCAAAACTGCATTCCATAAATGTTTTGAAAGATAGTAACTAGGTGACTGAAGTTCTGCCGCACACAATTCTAACTGGAGAACATGATTGTTGACTCTTGGCTATGGATATGTCCCATTGGAGAATATGAATTACGATACACTCAGGGGGTGGGGAGGAAAACCAGGGTGAAGTGTGACAATGAATTATGTGTCTCAGAGTTGGCTACACCCAGGCAGTGCCGGACATGTTAACTCCCAATAAATCATTTTTAAGTTTTGGAAGTTTGGCTCAAGACTCATGATTTAAATGGGGTTAAGTGCCGGAATCCTAACACCCTGCTTCAAATGACAGAAAAGCCAGCAGCCGCTTGTATTGTTTTAATAAAAAGATAATACTTTGAAAATATTTCTGATAGCACAACTTACGACCACAACTGGGGGGGGGGGGATTGGGACAAATTTCTGTTGCCGAGCAAGAGACTTGTTAAACAAATTTTTGCCCCGTTTTATGACCCTTCCTTGCCACAGTGGTGGAGTGAATCACTGCAACTGTTATGTTCGTAATAAGGTTGTTAATCTGGTTCCCTCATTGACTTTGCTTGTCGGGAGGTAGAATCCACATGATCCCTGGGACACTGCCAACTGTCATAAATATGAGTCAGTTGCCAAGCGGCCGAATTTCAATCACGGGACCATTAGGGGATGCTACATATGGTCGTAAAGTGTGAAAAAACAATCCTAAATCACCTTTTTTCAGTGCCATTGTAACTTCGAACAGTCAGTAAAAGAAGTGTTGTAAATGGAGGACTGTCTATATCTCATAATTGCCAGGGCCAATATTTAGACTCATCTAATGGCCAGCCAGGAGTGGATGGTTTCTCACCCTGAAAAGGAGGTGCGACAGAGGGTGGGTAGCGGAAGCGCTGCCTTCTTGGCTGAAACCTGAGAAACCGATAAGCTAACCATGGTTAAATGATGGTTGGGGGCCAATAGGCTGACTCTGTAAACCACTTAAGAGAGGGCTGCAAAGCACTAGGAAGCAGTATATAAATCAGGGGTGGGATTCAAAAATCCCAGCAACCGGTTCGCTGCCCGGTTCCTGGGTGGGTGTGGCCATGGTGGGTGGAGCCTAATGGTACTTCCAGGAGGGCTGTTTTTCGCCTTCGCAAGGGTCTGGATGCTTCCCTCGGGCCTCTGGGAAGTCAAAAACGGCTTTCCCCGGGCTCGGGAAGCCCACCGGAGGCTGGAAACAGGCCAGTTTCCAGACTTCTGGAAGGCCCGTATTTCCCCCTCCCAGAGCCTCTGCATGGACTTCCCTCCATGGAAAATGGGCCACGTGGAGATTCCTGGGAGGGGAGGGGCGAAGTGGGCGGGGCCAGCCGGTCGGTTTAACTACCAGTTCAGCGAACCAGATGCAAACTTAACATCCGGTTCACCCGAACCGTTGGAATCCCACCCCTGATATAAATCTAAGTCCTACTGTTATTGTACCCCCCCAAAGTAGCACCTTGTCGTTCCTTAGTGCAAGGGACAAAGAAAGGGGACAAAGTGTTCAAATCTTTTGCCCCACCCCCCACGCAACTGCGGTAGTTCCCCATATTGCTTTAATGCCAGCTGGATTGGAAATTTCTCCAGTCGCCAGGAGAGAAAAAAAAAATCCCCTCGCCAACAGCGAGCAGCTGCTTGGCTAATCGCTCAGCTTCTCCGAAGTCTCGCAAGCCACGGCTTCCAACTGAATCTTGTCTCCACATTCGAAAATGCTGATAGTTTTGCCCAAGGCGTACATCCTCTGGTGGGCCAAGCATGGTGAACGCTGCTTCAACTTCTGACCGTATTCGGGGCATTGATGGGTCTTCTCCTCCACCAGGACGACAGGGGAGTGAATCAGTTTGGGCTGATCTGGGAGGGTACAATCTGCACGTTGATTCATCCGTTCCCCCAGGTGGACTCTCTGATGGGAAGCCAGGTAAGTGCTCCGGCTGAAGCTGTTCCCACACTCACCGCATTTATGGGGTTTCTCGCCCGTGTGAATCCTCTGGTGGGAGTTGAGGATCGCCTTCTGGCTGAAGCTCTTGCCGCACTCCGCGCAGATGTACGGCTTCTCGCCCGTGTGGATCCTCCGGTGCTTGATCAGCGTGGACAAGTCGCAGAAGCTCTTGCCGCAAAAGGAGCAGCTGTAGGGCTTCTCCCCCGTGTGGATCCTTTGATGGGAGGCCAGGAGGTCGCTACGGATGAAGCTCTTCCCGCACTCCAAGCACTTGTAGGGTTTCTCCCCGGTGTGGATTCTCAGGTGGATCTTCAGACTTGACTTATAGCTGAAGAACTTCCCGCAAACGTTGCACTTGTATTTTCTCTTTTCGTTCGGCTTCTCTTCGGGGAGGGACGAGTTATGGAATCCCACCGCTTGGGAAGCCATGTTTTTCTTACACTTCTCCGTGAGGTAATTTCTCCTTGTCCTCCTCAGCGGGCGAATCTCTTCCAGCTTTGGCAGCTCAGCTTGGTCGGGGGCAACTTTCAAAAGTCCCCTGCCATTCTCGCTCTGCCGGACGTCACCTGCTGAAATAAAGAGAGGAGTGAAGAGGGCTAAAGGGATAAAACATAGAATAACAGAGTTTGAGGGGACCTTGCAGGTCTTCTAGTCTGACCCCCCACCCCCCGCTCGAGCAGGAAAGCCTATACCACTTCAGACAAATGGCGGCTTCAGTTTCTTCTTTAAAAATCTCCAGTGATGGAGCCCCCGTAACATCTGGAAACAAATTGTCCCGCCATTAGGAATTTCCCCCTAAGTTCTAGGTTGCTTTTCTGCTTAGTTTCCATCCATTCAGGGGGAGAAGCAACCTAGAGCGAAGGAGAACTAAGGAGAAGCAAATCTGTAAACCAGGAAATATATGTGTTTTTCCAAAAATATTTATAAACTATAAAAATAAACTTAAAAAAAAAAAAAGATAGCAGTCTGCACGGTTGCAGCATCCCATAATATGTGGAGGGCACTAAAGGTTGGTGCGTGGGGGGAGGGGGAATTACCAATTTTTCTTTGGTTTGTTCCATGAAAACCCAGGAACTTGTGTTTTTTTTACTCACCGCGTGAATTTCCAGCTTTCTCCTCTTCCTCCAGGAATGGCCTTGGGAGAATCCCTCCGCTGTCAGGGGAGTCCAGCTCTGCCTTGGCTGAGGGAACAGCTGCTGCGGACCCCTGCAATGGCAGACAGGATCTAAACACGAAACAGAACTCAGGAACAGGGAAGGCAAGATAATGACCCATCACCTCAGCCTGTCCCACATTGTTCAGGTACGGAAGGCACGCGACAGGCCCCGTCAGTCAAAGGATTTTGATTGGCAGGGTGAAGGAAGAAGGCGTTTTGTGCTGCTGCCCCTGCTTTGGGGAACACCTTGCTCTCAGAGATAAGACCCAGGTCTTTTGGCTTTCCGCAAAGGGGTCAAATTCGGGCTGTGTGGCCTTGCATGAGGGGCACAAGGAACCATCAAAACACCCACCCACTCACCCCGGATTAACATGTACTAACATGTACTAATTCTTCATCTGTTGGAATGTTGTTTTTATCATTTTAATCTTTTAAATCCTAACTTATTATTGTAATGTTTAATTTTATTGATTAAAGTGTATACCACCCTTCCCTGAGGGCGATGAGCAATTAGGAAGAATGGAGAAAGAAGAAAGAAAGAAAGAAAGAAAGAAAGAAAGAAAGAAAGAAAGAAAG